GGCTTTATGTTTAGGGTCGTTGTCCTGCTGGAAGTTGAACCTCCGCCCCAGTCTCAAGTCTTTTGCAGACTCCAAGAGGTTTTCTTCCAAGATTGCCCTGTATTTGGCTCCATCCATCTTCCCATCAACTCTGACCGGCTTCCCTGTCCCTGCTGAAGAGAAGCACCCCAAGAGCATGACAGTGGGGATGGTGTGTTCAGAGTCATGTGCAGTGTTAGTTTTCTGCCACACATAATGTTTTGCATTTTGGCCAAAAAGTTCCATTTTGGTCTCATCTGACCAGAGCACCTTCTTCCACATGTTTGCTGTGTCCCCCACATGTTTGCTGTGTCCCCCACATGGCTTGTGGCAAACTGCAAACGGGACTTCTTATGGTTTTCTGTTAACAATGGCTTTCTTCTTGCCACTCTTCCATAAAGGCCAACTTTGTGCAGTGCACAACTAATAGTTGTCCTATGGACAGATTCCCCCACCTGAGCTGTAGATCTCTGCAGCTTGTCCAGAGTCACCATGGGCCTCTTGGCTGCATTTCTGATCAGCGCTCTCCTTGTTCGCCCTGTGAGACACCAACCAGCGTCTGCACAGTCAGAACATTCTTGTCATAGTTTTTAAATCATGCCAGAGATGATATGAATATGTCTGAGTGAGGATGAATGAAATGCAGCTGTCACTGAAAATGAACTAAATCTCATCTGTGAATCCAGGCAGCAGAAAGTCTGACACCAGTTTTTTGCTGTAATATTTACAAACCTTTAAAAAGTAATAAAAAAATAAATATTAGAGAGAAAGCTTTCTAAATGTTGATCCATGATATATCTCGATATGTCAGACCCTGATTACCGGGAATGCTTTGATATATTTTTTTTCTTTACCTGCATTTTTACTCGGTTTTGCCAGGTGAATTAATACATTTATTAAAAGATTTAACATTTGTTAGAATTCCAGCTTTATCATCTATTAAAGAAAATTGGCTGAATATTGTGTCTATTGCTAAATAAAATGTACTCAAGTGAAATTACTCTCTTTCATCCACTCATATTTTTGTAAACATAAATGAAATAGCCCACACTGGCACACATTCATATTTCCTGGTCCACTGGATGAAATTGAAGTCTCTGCTCCTTATTTACTGGTTGAGCGCCACTTATGATGGCTTTTTTCATGACCCATGCACGAGCTTCACTCAGGGTAAGTTGATTAAAACTGCTATGGGAACAAAAACTCAGATTTTCCTACCACAGAGATCAGTGTTAGGCTCCGTTTGTAAACCTGGGATTGTTTAAATAGTTAGTTTTTCTTAGAAAGATTCCTCACTGAGTGAAAAGGCCTGGAATTATTAGTGTAGTGCCCCTAATAATAGTGTCTGGTCAGATTAAAAAAATACTAAGGAGAGTTGCTTCAGTGCTTCCTTTATTACCTCCTTCATCTTATTAATGTTTTCCATAAAAGTCCAAGAAACGTGATTAGGGAAAAACAAGGGATGGAATTTTTTGACTGGGGCCCTGGTTTCTGGAATAGGCCCGCTGATCCTGGGTTACACCATTCACGGTTAGCATCCTTAAAAACCCCTTAATTTTAAATGTTAAAGTTATAAAATATTGAGGTGAATCTAAAGATCCCAAGAAATCAGCCCATTTAATTTTACTTTAATGAGTCTTTCATTCATTTTTAATGATTTTTCTTGAATTTAACTAGGAAGTACCTTCGGGAAGTCATCAGGAAATAAACAGTCTCTCTCCCCCTGCAGGATTCGATCTTCATCAACAACAGGTCGAGGATCGTGAAGAGCGATTACACCACATTTAATGGAATCATTCACCACATCGACTTGATGCTGACACCTTACGCTCTGGAGGAGAAACCGCAGATTAATCCCAAAATGGTGCGTTGGGTTTGGTTACAGTTATTTAATGATTAATCTTAACTGGAAGCAGATAGTGATATCTCTCTTTCTCTCTTTGTGTTAGATGAACTTAACCACAGCAGCTTCAGTTTATGGCTACAGCAGCTTCTACCAACTCATAGAGGTAAGGGAAACAAAACCCTGCATCTACTGATTTGAGAAGGACTACTTCAATTTCTGCAACCCTCTTTCATTAACTCCCATCTGCTTGTCTACACATCCTCTTCAGAAAAATCCTGCTGGCCATTAGGTCGTAATTTGAGCCAAATCTGAGCATTTTATTAGTTCAGAACATTTAGTGTAGCTTCTTCACTTCAGAAGTCATCAGGGATCAATGTTAAAAAAAATTAGGCAAATTGAGCCACCTCTGTGTACTTCAGTGGGCTGTAACTAAGAAAATATTAATAGTATGAAAGCATCAGTAAGGTAAAGTTGGTTATTTGAGGCTATTGTGACCCTGGGCAATTTTTCTTGGATTGACCTCATTAATTAATCAACAGCTCTCTCCAAAGCACTAACGAGAAAACACTGCAGCACTAAACACTCTAGGATGATAAACGCAAGGCTCCACACACAGCTCTTATTTGGAAAGATGGGCGATGTGATATCCTTAACTGACAGTAAACATAGACTTACCACAGTTTTAAAATACTCTGTTTAAAGTCCTGTATTCAAGGTTTTCAGTAATTCAGTAGCACTACAGTAGCTTTGCCAGGCAGATGTAGTTTAAAAGCAGAAGGTTAATTGTCATGCATACACACTGAGAAGTGTGAAGCATGGTGGCATTATCCTGGGATTATTTCTCTGCCGGCCCTGGTTTGGTATATTCACCTGCAGTGACATATCAAAAGTTGTACTTTAATCTTCAAGTGGTTAAAGCTTATATTTTTGATTGTAAAAATACCTTGTACCACAATTTCGTGAAACGTTGTGTGGCTATCCTTGATTATTGTGTTGGCTTTGGTTCAGGAGGTAGAGTCTACTAATTGAAAGGTTGGTGGTTTGATCCTTGGCTTTTCTTGTCTGAAGTGTCCTTGATCACAATACTGAACCCCAAGTTACCCCGATGCTTTCAAAGTGCTTAAAATTTGTTTAGGCTCAGCTGGAGTAGAAAGGCGAACCTGTATCTATTCCTGTAATGTAAACTGTAATGGAGTCATAAACTGTTGTTTTAGGCTTAAATAGCTTGGTTGCTTGAGGGTTAATTATCATTTAACAACAAAAATCCAAAATTAAATTGTAACAAATAGCTCACATGTGGAGGTAAGCTTGGTGCATTTAGTTTCCATACAGGGGACATGTGCACTGCTAAACAACCCCCATTCACAATGGTTTAAGGCTAAATGGTTTAAGGCTAAACCATTGTGAATCCATTTTACCTGCTTCTTACTTTGGCGAAATGAAAATGACAACAGGTGCACAGAAGCAAAACTGGAGAAAAAAAATCAGTCAGGCGGGATAAGGAGAGAGCAATGGTCTGTGGCCACCACCTGCCACCTATATATACTATAACTATGCATGTGACAAATAAAGAACCTTGAACCTTGAACCTTGAATTCTCTTTTTGGAGGTTGTGTTGTTGTTGCTGTGCACCTGTTGTCTGCTTCATTTGCACCAAAGCAGCTCCATGGATTCACAGTGGTTTATGCCTGCTGCCTGCACACTTTGATATCCCTGAAGTTTAACTGACTTTGTGTTAAACTGTGATGATCGAGTGTTCCCTTCTTTTTTGAGCCATGTAAGGCCAGTTTCAGCAAGTCCGACCAGATCCATTTGATTCCACATGATGTACAGTGGGGGAAATAATTATATGATCTCCTGCTGAATTTGTATGTTTGCTAACTTACAAAGAAATGAACAGCCTCTCATTTTTTATGACAGTAAAATAAATATTTGATCCTATACAACCCAGTCAGAACTCTGGATGCCACAGATGGGCTGTGTAGTTGGTCACCAGGTTCGCACACATCTCAGGAGGGATTTCTGCCCACTCTTCTTCACAGAAAGTCTATCCATCCTTTTGGTTGCTGGTTGGCAACTTGAAGCTTCAGCCCCCTTCACAGATTTGCCACTCTTTTGTTACTTTGGCAGTATATTTTAGGTCATTGTCATGCTGGAAGACTGGTCCATGGCCAATCTTAAGCTTAAGCTTGGTGTTCTTTGGTTGATACTCAGCATTTCTCTTTCTCCAGAGTTGATGGGTGGAGTTGATTCCAAAAAGCTAAATTTTGGTTTAATCTGACATCACTTTCTTTCAAGCCTTCTCTGAGTCATTTAGATGTTCAGGAAAAAACTTCATACGGGTCTGTACGTGTGCCTTCTTGAGCATAGGAACTCTGCAGGTGCTGAAAGATTTCAATAAATAATGGCGTGGTGTGTTAGCAGTCATGTTTTTGGTGACTGTGGTACCAACTAATTAAAAAGCTCCTTGTACCTGATGTCCTTTGACTGCTCCTTGGTCTTCTCCAGAGGTGGACAGGTTGGCTTGGAAGAAATTGATTCTGTGGACAGTTGTGCTTTCTACAATGAAATTTTATTTATAAAGCGCTAAATCAACAGTTTCTTCAAGGTGCTTCATATTGTAAGATAAAGACCCTACGAAAATACAGAGAAAACCCCAGCATCTAAAATATTATTAATAAATGATCAGACAAAAGAGGCTTTTCAGGGAATAAATGTTCAGTTTCTATGGCATATGTCAGAACAAGATCCGGAGTGTGATTAAAGTGGTGCGTGGGCTCATTTACATTTTTAAAGAAGCCGATTGAGTCTAATAATAGATTGAATGCTATGTTGATGCTGTCATTTTGAGCATCTTCATGGATGTTTTATTCACCCACAATAATTATTTTATCTGAACTGACCGTTAAATCAGATAAAAACAATAGATAAATACAAATAAAACTGTATTTGAGTTTTCCAGTTAGGTTGTACAAGGCAAAGAATCAGGCTTTCAGATATATTAAAACTCTGTCTTGGTCTGGGTCATAAATATGACTCATTGAGATCAGGACTATTTCTAATTCTTTAATTGACTGATTGATTGTAATCTTTGCAGGCACACAGCCTGTGGTAGTAGGGGCTCAAATACCTATTTCACTCAGTGACATCCAAATCAATTTATAGCTCTTATCTAACATGTGGGGGGAGTTTTTCTGGGTTTTTTTTTGTGTGTTTTAGCAACACGAATACAATAATTACAAGTATCCCACATATAATTATGTACCAGCATGTCACAGAAAAAAGCTCTTCAGCTGGGCCTATAAATCATTATTTTTACCATGGTACTAAAACCATTAACAACCCCAAATATATATTTATAAAACAGACTGGGAGAAGTCTGTACAGACCTTAGATTTACAGTAAATTAATCAAGATATAGTAAAACTCCTTCATGGACACACACACTGCTTCACCCTCTCCAGGTACGTGTTTCAATGTTAGCGGCCTTTCCTGCAGACACGGGGAGTTTCCACACCTCCACATCCCCCCAGAGTCCCATAAAATCGACAAACCTGCATAACGTAATAATAACAAGGTGCTCCCGATCACAATAACTCACGGTTGTTACTGTAGTGCACTGACGGTTATCACCAAAAGTGGCACATCCATGTCAGTCGCTGCAAGTTATCTCTGTGGTGCTGGCAGCTTTTTTAAATCCATATATCTTTTTATCTTTTTATACAAAAAAAAAAAAACGGCAGCAGATTTATCTTAAAATTTTCTAATTGATGAATGTGTTTGAAATGCATTTTTGGTCATGGCCAATAACTGGGGTTAACATTACTACATGTGGGTCACTGTTTCACTCTAGCCGTGATGGATTCTCGATACTTTGCGTCATAGCAAGAAAATAGGAAACTTTGAAATTAGCAAATGGAAAAATCAGTTCTTTTTTAAGCTTTTGAAATGAAAATATGCTCCTGGTTTCATAATGTGGCCCTTGAACCCCGGAGGCTGCCATTTGTGACTTCTGCTTTATCTACTGCCAGTTTTGTGCCTCATACAGCTGTTTATGACACATGAATGTTGAATTTAGAAGACATAATGTTGGTTTTGGCTTCTCTTTACTCTTGAAGATGGAAGCTCGGATATATGTGAGACTTTCAGGAACAGGGCTTTACAATAAATGTGTCAGCCAGACGAGAGGCAGTCTTCTGAAACCGCGTATAGGCTGATGTTTTTACACAACGTTAAAATTAACAGCAGGAACTCAAACCACTTAACAATGTTTTGAGTTATCTGTGCTGTGGAACCTGGAAAAGGGATCCAGCAGGGAAAAAAATACTCTCACATTCACTTTGGAAAAGTGACTGATGTTTCACACCAGAGACTGAAATCGTTAACAGGATAGGATGCCCCTAAAAAATAAAATAACTGTCGTTAAAGAGAGTATTATACTTTACACCGTGTATGTAGACCTGAATACACTGCATTAAGTTCTGTCAGCTAATGGTGAGATATGAGATGAGTTCAATTTAAAAAGTAAATAACAAAAGGTTAATAACAAAGTAATTTTTACCCTTCAGGTTTAAAAGACTGATGGGTCAGGGTACCACGCTGCCTGGCAAGTTTATGAATACGATAACTCAAAAACAAGGCGACGTAGGAGTTTGAAATCTAGGGGTAGCACTGGCAGTATGCCAGTTTATTTTTCTTTTTATAATAAATATTTCATGAATCCCAAAGCAAAAGTCTAGTTAAGTTATATCATATTAACATTAAAGTTTAAAAAATGTGCAGCTATTAAAATTTACATTCTTCTAAATATATTTTTCAGTAAACATTTTAAACAACCACCTACAGTACCTTCAGGGACCACCAGGGGACCACACTATGGGAAAAATTATATTTATCATGAAAGTACAAAATGGCTTCCTTCTGACCTTGACTGCTGTGTTTTTCACAGTAGGAATTGTATATGTCACAAAAGCTTGCATATAGTTAGTATATAGAAAGTATTTATGTTAACAAGACTGAAATAGGGAAATAGCCACATGCAGAAGTTCAGTTCAGAGATTGCATAGATACCACTGCTTTTGTTCTTGCTGCAGCAAAGTAAAAAAAAAAAAAAGGGAAGGCATTTTATGTTTATCCTGTGTTTAAGTGTCACAGTGTGAGCTGGTAACACTCTGCAGTAGGCTCCTGCCCAGTTTAACCCCAGGCTATAAGGAGACAAAAACTAAACAGAGTGACTTCACACTCAAAAGCAGATCCTGTGCAGATTTTATTTTGTTGATAGTGGACTATTTAAGAGTCTTAAATATTTTTCTTACATCATACTGAATTGTATTCAGATGCTTAAACAGTGGATTAGCAATCAGATTCTGTAGTTTTTAGCTCATCTAGCCAAAGGACTGAGCTTATGGCATGAAAAGGCATCCATGTGTCCATTTATCCACCACAGTAACACTGTAATCTTTACCTCACAGTGTAAAGAGCCCCGAGGCAGCTGTTGTTATGACTGATGCTAGATAAATAAGCCTGAACTGAACTGAACTGAACTGTAGACGACCTTCTCCGACGAGATTATTTGTCAGAATTTTGTGAAACTTGCACACAGAGATTACCTTATCTCATATGTACTTTTTGCACAATGCTCAGTCTTTTGCACAACCCACTGTCATTGTTGCACTTTTCTGTGGCATTCTTGTGTCTGCACTGTCTTGTGTCTGTATCGTTCTGTTCTGTTCTGTCTAGTGTTGCACTGCCTCCAAGACCATAGCACCATGGTCTTGGAGGAACGTTGTCTCATTTCACTGTGTACTGTACCACTGCACATGGCTGGAATAACAATAAAGCCACTTGACTTGAAATTACATGATAGATTGAAACATCACTTTGCCATAAGTGTTCTACGATCTTAATGTTTGTGAAAGTGGAGGAGTGTTCTTCCTATTGATCGACTCCAAGATTAGAACCTAGAAATCATCCTGTCACTGTTAATATTGTCAGCAATGTGCTCAATGCTATGACCTGCTGATGCAATCACATATTTTCATGTTTTTGTGGTCATGGTTACTTTCTTGACGTTCTTCTTCCTTTGGCTTTGCGATCACCACAGTGATCTTCCTCCGTCACACCAACCCTCTGTATGTCCTCCTTCACTCCATGAACCTTCTCTGTGGTCTTCTTGTCTTCCTGCTTGGCAGCTCCTCTTGAACATCTTTGTCCTTGAGATGAGACTCTTTTGCCATAACAGGAAAATACATGGGTAGAGGTACCTTTAGACTCTATCGCAAAAAGGTTGATTCTGTTTATCTGGACGTAGCGTTTTAGGTGGGAGAAACGTTTTGTCACTCAACCAAGTGAGTTTTACAGTGTCCGCTTACTGCAGGTTTCCTCGACCTTATAAACAGCACATCTCTAAATGACTGACACTAGCACCACTGATGAACAATGGGCTGTGAGGTCAGTTTCATGGTCGTTAATATGCAAATTGTCATGAATATTGATTAGTGGCCACTGCTCAATAACCATGAGAACCATTTTACAGAGAGTTGGAGAATGGTTGCAATCACAGCGTTGTAAGATGGTGAAAGATGTACCCTTCGGCCCTGTCCTCAATTCAGAGATGATCTTTCCCATTTAAATGGCCTCCTTGACTCCCCGCTCAAACCAGCTTTCCTTCCTGTCAAGGATACAAACATCCTCATCATTGTTAGCCAGTGGTGCTATAATTCAATGGGCCAAAAAAGACCTAAAAGTGTCTTTTTTGGCCCATTGAAATTTGAGGCAATGTATTGCCATGAATATTTTAAAACTTAACTAAAGGCTGCTGTTTTTATCATCATCATCATCAAGAATAAATTGATGATGGAGGAATGTTGTCTCGTTCCTCCATCATCAGCTAAAAATTACAGCTAAAATTTTATCAAGAACAAAGATAGACCATTGAAAATTTCAGGCTTTTATCTTTAATAGTCGTTGAGATATTCTTGTTCAAACACTTTTTCCAATTTTAGTGTGTGGAAAAAGGCCTGAAGGCGGGTCGATGAATCATTTTTTAAAAAGTATTTCATATTTCACAGCTATTTTTGTAAATATTCATATTTTCTACCATAACATTTTTATTGAAATCGAAGACTGTCAAACAGAAAATTTTGTTGATTAGAGACAGAATTACTCATAATAGACCTCCGCTGTGCAGCCCAGTATCACTGTACAACAGATTACACAGCAGATATGGCTTTCATAAAGGAAAAGGTTAAGTAAAGTTCCATTTGTTCTAACATTTATCATAACATTTGTATCTAGTAAAATTAATTTCAAGTGTTTCTAAAATGTCAAAAAAAAGTTTGTGGTCAGCATAAGTAAAAATCAATGTGCAAGACTCACTGTTAAATGCTTTTATCACTTTTTACAGATTGCAGGCCTCCTCCCTACACTCAATATGGCCGTCCACCAACCATTCACCGTGTTTTGGCCCACAAACAAGGCCATGGAGTCCTTGCCGCCTGAAAGACAGCTCTGGCTCATCCACCCTTTACACCGGGACCGGCTGGCTGCCACCTTAAAGGCTCACATCATTCGCAACTCAAAGGTAGGAGGAGAATGACTGGATGAATAACGAAGTGTTCTTTTGGATAGAGCCGATTACGAATGGCAAAAAGAGATGTGTAGGGTTATAATCCAATTCAATATTATTTTTACAATGCCAAATCACAACAGCCGCCTCAAGGCGCTTTTATATTGTAAGGTAGACCCCTACAATAATACAACAGAGAAAACCCCAAAAACCATACAACCCCCTTTTTAAGCACTTTGGCAATAGTGGGAAGGAAAACTCCCATTTAACTGGAAGAAACCTCCTCCAGAACCAGGCTCAGGGAGAGGCAGCTCATCTCTGTGCTTGTCCTGCTAGCGTTCGATGCTGTTGACCATAATATTCTATTAGAAAGATTAGAGCACGCTGTAGGTATTACAGTTACTGCGCTGCAGTAGTTTGAATTTTATCTGTCTAATAGACTCCAGTTTGTTCATGTAAATGGAGAGTCTTCTTTAAAGGCTGAGGTTAATTTTGGAGTTCCACAGGGTTCAGTGCTAAGACCAATTCGGTTTACATTATACATGCTTCCCTTAGGCAGCATCATTAGAAGGCATAGCATACATTTTCACTGCTGTGCAGATGACACACAACTTTATCTATCCATGAAGCCAGATAACACACACCATTTAGTTAAACTGCAGAAATGTCTTAAAGACATAAAGAAAATCTCTGTAGATGTGGACGTGAACATGAGCCCTGAATTGGCTAAGCCAAGAAAATGAATGAATTGCATTAATAAAGTAATAACCTTCTCTTGATCTGCTTTTAGGGTTTGTATCAAAAAATGTTTTAAGCACATGTTTAATCAGAAACATTGACAATATTAAAGTGTTTCTAAACCTTTTCCTTTGAAGCATTATGCCTGTGTGTATGTGTGTGTGTAGGTGACAAATGTTGGACTGCCGACTAAATTTTCATCCTTCCGCACAATGCATGGATCCACCATCAAGTTCAGCTGTGACCGGAGCCTGGTGGTGAGGAAACACACATATAAACCAAATGAGTGGCCATTACTTCTTCCACACCTGGTAGTTAATTGTTGCTGACTAAACTGACTGACTAACTAAAACTAAAACTGATTAAAAATGTGCCTGGGTGGTGTGGCTCAGCATCTACACATTGTTAGCTCCAGGGGGGAGCGCCTTCTCCACAACACTCCGTCTTTACGACCTCATGGCGTGCAAGCGGGTCTGCTGAGGTTATCCACCTGAGGTGCTCCATGTGCCCCTGCTTGGGTCTTACCCATGACAGTGTGTGTGCTCTGTGGCCTTGGGCTTAGTCTGTGCATCGCCACTGGCCGGATGACCGTACATGCTCTGCCTCTACCCCAAAGCAAGTCCACCCCCAGCGGCTTCTTACAAGGACTGACTAATGAGCGTCAGAGTTCTCATGGAGGAACTCCTGCCTAGAAAACCTTACTCTTTTCAAAACTTTGTCTCTGAATGTGGAAACCTCAAAAACTCTGATATGACTCTTATTGGTGGTTTACTCAATTCGTGCATCAATGAAGAATGCAATTGGTTGCAAGAACTAATGTGGGGGTGGCTGTAGCTGAGGAGGTAGTGCAGGTCATCTACCATTTGGAAAGTTGGTCGTTTGCTCCCTTTCTGATCCAGTTTGCATGCCAAGGTATCCTTGGGCAAAATGCATTCATCAGAGTATGAATGTGCGTGAATGTTAGCTAGAAAAGGATTGAATGAATGCATGTGTGAAAGGGTGAATAAGATATGTTGTATAAAACACTTTGAGTGCTCAGATAAAATAGAAAAGTGCTATATAAGAACCAGTTACCATTTTACACAGACAGGAAAGTCAAAGCTTATCCCACAGATAATTTTAATGTCTGTCATAAGTAGGGATGGGTATCGTTTAGGTTTTATCTGATACCGGTGCCAAA